TGCCGAGCTATCTGCCTGGCCGTTGCCTCCTTTTCTTAGGAGGGCCCCATGATCAGACTGAATCAGGACCACCCTAGGGACCTCATCTGAACTGAATCTCCCTTCAAAAAATTCTGTTCCTAGTCATCTTCCGCGGTCTGGGGTTAGGGTTTCAGTGTATGCAACGTGAAGGAACAAAGTGCAGTCCATAATGATGTCACTTGGAGGGGAGGAGACGGTGCCACAGAAAGCCTCCCTGCATCTGTCTGGCCCTTCTAGTCGTCCTGAGGCTGGGGCCCTGGTCCCTCGGACACTCCCATAGCTCACTCCCCGAGGGAGCCCATTCCACCTTCCTGGCTGCCACCCCGAGTGTGGCGTCCTGTGCTTGGGCTGTCGCATTTGGCTAGAGATGACGCCTTCCTTCCAGGTCTCGCTGTCTCAGGTACTTGTCACACTGGAGAAAAGTCCCTCCCCCCACACCCAAACTGGTTTTCTCTCAAGCCTCATTGGCTGGACTGTGAGCATTAAGGACCAATCCGGAGCGAAAAAGACAGGGCTACACCAATCACAGGTGTCTGTGGGGGAGCAGTTGCCACCCTTGTCGGGATTTCAGGGTTGAGGCAACAGGCAGGAATAGTAGTGGACAGGCAGTGTCACTGTGGGTGGAGCGACGCCCACCCGCGTGTTGATTCAACACCCAACATCTTTCCTTCATTAAACACAGACCACCCGAGCACCCTCTACGCTGGAAAGCGGTGCTGTGCCTTCTCAGACCTGACTCCCACTCTGCGCCTAGTTCTGGGGACATGACGTGACAGTGGGACACGTCCTGCCTCCTGGGCTCCCACGACCGTCTTTTTGTTGGGGACCCTAGCTGGGCGTGGAGTCCTGCCTGCGGGATCCTTAAGTGCCTTCTGGGGGAGCTTTTGTCTTCCCTCTCTGCACAGAGCTGACGCCCCGGGGTCCCAGCACCCCCTCCATCCCGCATAGCAACACCCCGCCTCTCTGTTGGGGATGGGGCAGAGAGGCTTCCTGAGCGCCTCATTTCCACAGCGCATTTGCTGCCCTGAAACAGCTGGAAAATCCCCAGGCACAGGATAGCCGGGGCAACGAGGACGCAGAAAGGCACAGAACATTCTCTGGGGGCACCCTAGCTGGTCAGGTGAGGTGGCAACTGCCTGGAACCCCCACCATTTGGGAGGCTGAGGAAAGAGGATTGCAAATTCAAGGCCAGCCTGGGAAACTTAGGGAGACCCTGTCTCAGAATAAAACAAAAGGGCTGCAGATGTAGCTCAGTGTCAGAGAGCTTGTCTAAGACACAAGAGGTCCTGGATTCGATGCCCAGTACCAGAAAAAATAAACACTGTACAGGTTTTGTGTGTAACAGTAACTCCTCTGCAGCGTGTGGGACCCATACTCTGGGGTTGGCCTGGCGGTTCTTCGCCTTCAGTTCTTGGGCCTCCTCTCAGGGGGCTGTATGCTGGCTGGTGGCTGGCACCTGGACTTGGGCACCCTGTCTCAGGGCCTCGGGACCTGTCCCGACCCGCCCAGGGGTCTCCAGTGGGGCAAAGGCTCCTTGCTCACTCCAGGGAAGCCAGGAGTGG